CACGTATCACATATACATTTGCCTATGCATGTGTGTATACATATACTCAAGAAGGAGAGGAATCCCTTAATTTCCATGTGGACCATAATGTATGACAAGTCATTAGGCACCTTAGTACTTTCACACACATTTATAAAGCATTTTCTTTATTTATATATTTTTTATTTTACTTAACTTCAAATTAATAAATAGTCCCCGTAATATTTTTTAATACTAAAAAAAAAAAAAACCACCAAACTCGTTGCCATCAAGTTGATTCCGACTCATAGCGACCCTATAAGACAGAGTAGAACTGCCCCATGGGGTTTCGAAGGAGTGGCCGGTGGATTCAAACTGTCGACCTTTTGGTTAGCAGCCAAGCTCTTAACCACTATGCAACCAGGGTTTCCAAAAATCTTAATAGCTTACTGTAAATATGTGATTAACATATCATTAAAATAGGTAGGAATAGAAATCAAAATACTTTGGATCATTACCACTGTAGACTTTTAAAAAAAAGAAATGACTGTGAAATTCTAGAATAGACTTTGCATTTTCTCACTGGCTCATAAATGAGAGCCAGAAGTGAGAAAGCCACATTGCCAAAAGTTATTCAAACAATCAATAAACCTTAAAAAGATACATAACCTTCTATTAAGAAATTAATTAAAATAGTACAGTGCTATTTGGGTTTGGGGGGTGTTTTTCATCAAACAAATGCTATCTAATCATTTTGTAGATATATGTCGTATCAAGAGGTGTCAGAGGGAAAGTAAATGAGCACATTGGTGAAATATGTTTCTGTTTACATATCTCTTCCCAAAGACAGTTAAGTGATGTGCTTCTGAGCAATTGTGGTTATTTGTAAATGGTTGTGCTTATCATTCATGTTTTATTTTAAAATCCACAGTCAGAGCATCCAAACCAGAAAATAAGCTCTGCCAACACTTTCACCTTTAAGGCAGAAAAATGAGTATCCATTCACTTTGAAAAGAGATGCATGAATCAAAGTATGTTGTTGGTAGGTGTCATCAGGTCAATTTCAATTCATCGTGACCCCATGTGACAGAGTAGAACCGTCCTATAGAATTTTCTTATATAAAATAAACTTAGATAAAGATAAACTCCCCAGCAGTGGGTTTAGTTTTGGTTTTAATCTTTACAGGAGGAGATCATCAGGGTTTTCCCCCATGGAGCTGCTGGGTGGGTTCCAACTGCCAACCTTTTGGTTAGCAGCAGGGTGCGTAACCATTATACCCCCCAAACCAAAACCCAATGCCATCGAGTAGATTCCGACTCATAGAGACCCTATAGGACAGCGTAGAACCGCCCCATACGGTTTCCAAGGCTGTAATCTTTACAGAAGCAGACTGCCGCCATCTTTCTCCTGTGGAGCAGCTGATAGGTTCAAATCGTCAACCTTTTGGTCAGAAGCCAAGCGCTTAACCACTGCACCACCAGGGCTCCTTCTGATAACACCACTCATTATTATTTCCTTGCTCTGTTTTCCTTTCTTCCTTCCTTTTCTTTCTTTTCCTTTCCTTCTATTATCCATCCAGTTATCTATCTATATTTTCTTATTGAATATCTGACGCCCCTACTAGAATCTAAGCCCCATCATGGCAGGGAGTTTGCCGAGAGCAGAACTTGGCTGTTCAGTACATGCATGTGAGGGAATTCTGCTTATTGTCATCAGTGGGCTGTCTTTGCCTTGATTAAAGTCACTATTGTTTCGGAGCGCAGTTGTTTTTATACCACAAGGTGGGCAGCAGGGATATGGGCTTAGTCAGTACTCTAATTTCCTGTTCTGGTGCTTGTAATTAAGGGTCTTACCTAAGGACCACCCTTTCGGTTAGCAGCCGAGTGCTTAACCACTGTACCACCATTGCTGCTTAAATGGAAGTATAGTGGATGCCAATTGCTTATTTTAAATTATCGTTGTCTGCTACTGTATCTTCAGTGGCGAAAACAGTGCTTTGCATGTTGTAAATGCTCAATAAGTATTTTTTATGCTGACTACTATGGGGTGTACTCAGAGGCTGAAGCTCTGCAGTCAGTCTGACTAATACATCTATTTATTTATTCATTTATGTTAGTTTTTAAAAAATTATTCAACTTTTTATTTTGAGATAAAAAAGATATAGTCATATGAAGTTACAAGAAATAATACAGAGAGATCCAGCATACACTTTACCCGGTTTCCCCCCATAGTAATATTTTGCAATACTATAACACAGTATCACAATCAGGACAATGACTTTGAAACAATCAAGATACAGAACAGTTCCATCACCATAAGGACACTTCATGTTACCATTTCATAACCATACCCAAATCCCTCCTACCTCCACCTCTAAACCTTGGCCACCGCTAATCTGTTCGCTATCTCTACAATTTAGTCATTTCAAGAATGTTGTATAAATGGAATCATACAGTATTGTAACCTTTTGGGATGAGCTTTCCGTATAATTCTCGGTAGACTCGCCAAACTGTTGTGCATATCAACATTCATTCCTTTTCATCACTGAATAGTATTCCACTGAATGGATGCACCACAGTTTGTATAACCCTTCACCTGGTGAAGGACGTTGGAGTTGTTTCCAGTGTTGGGTATTACAAATAAAGCTGTCATAGACATTCGTGTACCGTTTTTCTTGTGTGAGTGTGTGTGTGTGTGTGTGTGTGTGTGTGTGTGTGTGTGTGTGTGTGTGTGTGGACATAAGTCCTTGTTTCTCTGGAGTAAATGCCCAGGAGTCTAATTGCTTGGTTGCATGACAGTTGCATGTTTAATTTTTTGTATTTTCTTAAAGAAATTGACAAACTGTTTCCAGAGTAGCTGTACCATTCTACATTTCCGCCAGCAATTTCTGAGTGATCCATTTTCTTTACAAACTTACCAGCCTTTAATGTTGTCTTTTTTTGTTTTAAACTTCAGCCATTCTCATATATGTGGGTAGTGATACCTCACTGTGGTTTTAATTTGCATTTCCTTCATGGTTAATGATGTTAAACATCTTTTCATGGATGTATTTTCTACCTGTATTATCTTCTTCGGTGTTTTGCCTCTTTTCTGACTGGATTGGGTTTTTTGGTTTGCTTTTTACTGTTGAGTTTTGAGAGTTTTTTATATATTCTTTTTTTTCCTTTGATGCTTATTTTTTTCTTGTGGTAAATATGTATGTAAAAAAACTTTGGCTGTTTCAACATTCTTCACATGCACAATTCAGTGACACTGATTATATCCATCATGCTGTGCAACCATCACCATTATCCATTTCCAGCTTTTTCCATCACCCTTAACACAAGCTCAGTGTCACCTAAGCAGTGAGTCTCCTTTCCCCCTCCCTCCCACCTGCCCCCGGTAACCACTAAAAACCTCAGGTCTGTATACATTTGCCTGTTCTAGTTATTTCTTATAAGGGGACTCATACAATAGTCATCCTTTTGTGACTGACTTATCTCACTCGGCATGATGCTTTCAAGGTTCATCCATATTGTTACATGGATCAGGACTTCATTTCTCTTTACCGCTAAGTAAAAGTCCATTGTTCGTGTGTGCTACATTTTATTTATCCATTCATCTGATGATGGACATTTCGGTTGTTTTCGTCTTTTGGCAACTGTAAGTAGCATTGCAATGAACACTGGCAAACGTGTGTCTGTTTGCGTTTTTACTTTCCATTCTTTTGGGTATATCCCTAGGAGTGGAACTGCTGGATCATATGATAATTCTATGTTTTACTTTTTGGGGAACAGCTAGACTGTTTTCCAAAGTGGCTGTACCATTTTTCAACCCCACCAGCAACAGATGAGGGTTTAGACAATTCTCTTGTCAATATCTTGCTACTCCAGTTTCATTCTTCCAGTAAAATATCTCCTTAATAGATGAAAAATTGTGGATATATATATATAAAACTAGTTTTTCTAATAACAATATGCCTTAAATATAGCTTTATTTACAGCACTGTTTTACTTTTATTCTTAAAATGTTCAATGTGAATTCACTTAATCATATTTAAAATGTGCTAAGCCCTCGGCTAACTCATAACCATCATCATCATCATCATCATCAAAATAATAAAAATGAGCATTTATTGAAAATTTGCTCTTTATCAGACACAGTCCTGTAAGTCCTTTTTATACTGCAAAGGTTAAGCACTCAGTTCAAACCTACCCAGCACCTCCACGGAAGAAAGATCTGGCGATCTGCTCCCATAAAGATTACAGCCTAGAAAACCCTATGGGGGCAGTTCTGCTCAGTCTCATGGAGTCACTATCAGTCGAAAATTGACTTGCCAGCATTTAATAACAACAACAACTTGACAAGATTCTTAGAAGGTGGATGTAATTAGCTCTGATTTACAGATTAGCGACCAAAGGCATCGAGAGCTCCAGTGACTTGCCCAAAGTCACAGAGTTTCCAAGTGGCAGAGCTAAAACCTGTGTTAACGTTTATTTGGTTCCCACTACATAGCAACGAGCCCTGGTGGTGCAGTGCTTAACAGTTACGGTGAGTTACATCAGCTAATTGAAAGGTCAGCAGTTCGAGGTCACCAGCAGCTCACTGGAAACCCTATGAGGCAGTTCTACTCTGTCCTATACGGTCGCTATGAGTCAAAATCGACTCCACGGCAATGGGTTTGGTTTGGTTTTATGAAGCAATGGATGTTCTAAGCTATAAAAAGGAAGATTTTTACAGATGACTAAACAGAGACTGTCAGAAGGTAGGTTACCTGTCTGAAGTAACGTATCTAGGAAATGGTGGGCCCAAGCTTCAGACGAATTTCGGAGGTCATCTGCTTAGGGGTTCTCCTAGAACTGCTGCTATTGCACAAGTAGTGCAAATTAGAAAAAGGAGCCCCTTTAGGCTAATCAGTCTGACAAAGACCAGGCTTGGTGAGCAGAACGAAGGCTGGACTGTGGGCTCTCTCAGGCCCCTTCCACCATCATCCTGCTGTAGGAAAAAAATCCACTCAACTTGAGGTCTCTCTCTATCTTTACCTCTACCTTTATCTCCGCAGCTCTCGCTTTCTCAGTGACGTCACCTAATAGACCACAGTCGTCTTCTTCAGCGAAGCTGACGTTTTTGGATGAGGCTATCTGGGTAACCCGCTTCTCAGAAGACTTAGCTTCATGCCGTCTTTCTTCCATTGACTATGTGATTTAGCCTCACGGCGCATCGCAGGGATTTAAAGGTCCCCAAGCCCTGGTGGCACAGTGGTTAAGAAGAGCTAGGCTGCTAACCAAAAGGTGGACAGTTCAAATCCACCAGCTGCTCCCTGGAAGCCCTATGAGTTGGAGTCGACTCTACGGTAAGGGGTAAGGCCCACTTCAGCGCAACCTCCTATGCTTGCCTGGTCTGGTCAGGTCCGGGCAGTTGTTCTGAAACCTTGGTTGCATTCATTCAGTCTGTGCTCCTGCTGATTCACCACCAAGCCCCCCACCTCAGACCCCTTTTGTTGTGCCATTTTTCTCCACTGGTACACCAGATGTGTTTCCCCAAATTATATCCTACCCAGGAAGGGATCTGCTGTCCCACATGCTGCTGTGCGGGGCTCCCACATCAAGCGTTCAGTCCCAACTTGTGCAAGGTCGGTAGTTCTTGGTGTACTCCTTAACACGAACTAGAACTTGGACGGCACTTGTCCGGCAGATATTTTTAGCCCTTTTTCCAACTTTCGGAAAGAATGGAATTTTGGAAATATTTTCTGTCTTAGACTATTAACATACCTATGCTGATGCGCTGCTCTTGTGTAACCACGGTTTTCCTGTTATCTTGGTTACAGGAAACACTAGCAGTGAAGCCGGGTATTTGCTCAGGCTTCTTCCGAGTCCTCTGACACAGCCTGCTCTTCCTGGCAGTCCCAGCACCCTCTGCTCTGACCTGGTCATGCCTCACGGCCAGTCCGCGACCTAGTATGGACCAGAATCCAAGTCGCTGTTGGGCTTCTGAGTTCACACCGCCCAACACATAGAAAACATGCGTTTTCTCTCCATTTGTGCCCTCTTTTTTTCCCTATAATAAAAGTATATCCCAGGGAGAAACTTAGGAAATTTAACAGTTCAAAGTTTTCAAACACACTGAGATCGCTTTAAGAATTCAAAGGACACGAGGCATGGGCGGTGGGGGGTACCCCATCTCCTCTGTCCCTCCTCCTCCCCGGAAATGCCACCGTGCAAGCATTGCCCTCAGGAGATTCTAGGACCAAGGAGGAGGCCGATGACACCCAGAGCGGAATACTTTCCACCCCAGGCTCCTCTGCCCTGCAGGATGGCCTGATCCTCCCTCGCGCCCCACAGAGTGCCCCTTTCCCAGACGCGCTGCCAGCTCAGCGGCCCGTCAGCCGGGGCCGGCACCCGGCGATTGGCTGGCCCGGCCCGGGAGGCTGGTTCGGCTGCAAGGTAAAAGCGCGGGCGGCCGGGCGGGCGGCGCCAAGGGGAGCGCCGAGGAGCGGCCGGCGGGGCGCAGCGGGCACTGGCCGCGCGTCGCCAATTAGTGCGGACTTCGGAGTTCACCCAAGTCGGGACCCGGGACGGCGGGGCGCGGCGGGCACGGGGCGGGACTCGCCAATCAGAGCCGATCTGGAGTTCGCCCCGAGGCGCGCCGGAAGCCCGCAGCCAGTGCCCGAGCGCCTGGACGCGCGGGACCCGGAGCACCGCCGCTATGCCCGCGGGGGTCGCGCCCCGAGTCAGCAGTCACGCTCTGCCCGCCTTCGACGCGCCCCTGAGCGAGCGCCTTCTGCACCGGGGCCCCGACTACCTGCGCCGGCACCTGGACGCGACGCGGCCGGCGCGCAGGAGCGCGGTGGAGAGGCTGGCGGCCGACCGCGCCAAGTACGTGAAGAGCCGGCCAGTGGCCGGGCCGGCACAGGGCCCTGGCGGCCCCAGCTCCACTTCCGAGAGCAGCAGCGAGAGCTGCTCCGGGGAGAGCCGCAGGAGCGCCCGCGACAGCCGCGGCACGGAGGAGACGGCGCCCGGCGCCCCCCAGCCCCCGGCCCGCGCTCCGTGCCCGGTGGCTCGCAGGGCCATTGCCCGGAAGCCGCTGAGGCCGGACTCGCTGGTCATCTACCGGCAGAAATGCGAGTTCGTCAAAGGGCAGGGCGCCGACGGCTCCAGGGCGAGCTTGGTGAGGAAGCTCTTCCAAGGGCCAGGCAAGGACAAGGCGCTGGTGCCCCCTGAGATGCCTAAAGTAAGAGAGGAGGTCAAAACCGAGAACGGGGAGGCCAGCGCCCAGGGCCAGGAGCCCCGAGCCCAGGGCCAGGAGGCCCCCTCGACCAAGGCTGCAGGGAGCAGCCTTGGCCCCGGCCCTGTCGCTGGTTCAGTGCCCCCCACGCCACCTGCCCCCTCCACACCTGCCGGGGCACCCAGCAGGTGCCAAGCCATGGACCCTGGTCCTGACCTCCGGGAGGTGAGGCGCAGGGGCCTGCACCGTTCTCAGTCAGACATCAGCTCTCGCTACTCCAAGTCCTTCGCCGAATTTGACACTTTCTTCCAGTACTGCGGCCTTGACCCCGAGGTGGTGGAGGACCTCGGTAGGGAGAACTTTTCTGCAGGGTCAGACCACATTGCCTTCAAAGTCCGCAGCGTGAGCATCGCCACGTCGGACAGCGGCTTCTCCCGGCACAGCGGCGGGGACGATGGACTGCAGGAAGATGAGCTGATGGAGCAAGTCCCCAGCAGGACCTCGGTCATCGAGAAGAACGCTCGCATCATCAAATGGCTGTACACGTGTAAGGCGGCCAAGCAGACCCCCACGCAGCAAGGGGCTGCAGGAGCTGGAGTGACGCCGCCTGCGCCCGAGCCCGGAAACCGGAACCCAGAGGTGGGCTTTCCCAGAGCTGAGAAGGGTGTCTGCCTGTGTGAGTGTCTGTGTTTGCTCAGTGTGGCCGAGTTGGGCGATGGTTAGTGGCAGCTTTCTGTTAGAGCCCAGTGCTCTAAATTGGAAGAGACCTAATAAATAGTAGAACTGCTACTAAATCCAGGTTTCCAGACTCCAGGTCTGCCTGGAAAGATAATTCTATGTTAGCACCATCCTAGTTGGCTTATTATTGAAAAATGGGGAAAATCCAAATTATGGAAAAAATGCTCAGTCAGCAAGCAGACAAGCTCAGTAGCAAGTCACCGCCTCCTGCTATTATTATATCCTGCATTGACAAGAGGAGAGGACACCTAGTTTCTCTGTGAACTGACCTGGTGATACAGACTCAGTGTGGGCTGTCCTGATGTTTGATTGCAGCCAGCTCATCCAGTCTGTAGCCCGAGGACAGGCTTTGCTCCCTAATAACTCCTCACTGCTGACCTCAGGCAGAAAGGAAGGCTAGGTGTCACCGTGTCAAACCAGCTTGCATTTTCTTGGAGGCATTTACATACCAAGGTTGTGAGGAAGGAGGACTTCTCTGCAGATCTCGTCAGCAATGTGACAGCACATAGCTGCAAAACAACTTTCTTTGGCTAAATTTTGCTGAAATTGCTTTTTGCAAACTTTCTGAGAGTTGCTTGAGCAACTTAGTTCACATCAGGGAGCTTTAGTCTGTTGATATGAGGGGATTGGAGGTTCTTAATTCCCCGACTCTATAGTGTATTTCTCTCTCTGATCATAATGTAGGAAGTACTGTCTTCCCTTTGCATCACCCAGCAGCACAGGGATGATGTCTGAGGTTCTTTTCACTAAGGAGCTACATAAGCTTTATCCTCGTCTGTCATCCTTTCTCTTCCTTCAGAGTATTTGGGAGTAGGGAAGGGAGAGGAGAAGGTAACTTTGCAGAATTCTTTTTGAGAACCAAGAATTTAAACATTGCAACATAGCTTTCTCTTGCCCTTCATTGACACCTTGAAGTATATTTAAAAGAAACATTTCGTGCCATGAAAGTATTTTGTCTCCCCTTGAGATAAACTCTAATAGGTGGTGGGGTGGCACGTCACAGGAGATGTTTGTAGGCAACTCACCTGTGCTGAAGACTGAATATACTCACCTGTGCTGAAGACTGAATACTACTACTAATACACTTGGTAACTCCTGACTGGCCACAGCCTTGATGCAAACACGAATAATATCCATCATGAGGTCAGGGGAATTCTTTGTCTCTCTTGGCCTGAGCCTCAAAATTTCTATCTTATATTTTATCAGATATTTGCTTCTTCCTCTAGTCTGATTCCCTAGACAAGTACGTAGGAAGTCAAACATTTTTTTAAAAATCATGTTTTTCACAAACTGTCTTTTGGAACGGAGATAAGTGAGTGCTGTAAGGCTGCTATAATGATGCCAGCCGTAAGTGCTACACATGTGAAAGAGGAAAGCTGAGAAGAGTGAGCAGGGTCTGCAGAGGGACAGGTCTGCTGGAAAACCGGGAGGCCCGGCTTCTGTTCCCTAGTCACTCCTCCACTGTGGGCCTGGGCTTCCATCCTTCATGAAATAAAGGGAGATAGGCAGACGATTTCCACTCTCTGTATTTTATTATTGTAGTCAGGGATACGTGTATGTGTGTTCCATGATTAGAACCCAGGAAAAAGAAAAACAAAAACTCACTGCTTTTTGGATTATGTAAAAAGTAAACTGAGAATTAAGTTCACCTCCAGAGAGCTAGCGGGAGTCAGAGCCTTCTGGGTTCTAGTCACAGGAGGTAGGTAGAATTGGTGGTGGAAATAGTGATGAGATGAGATGACAGAAAAGAAGCCACAATAAAACCTGACAACATAAAAATAAAAGCACCCCCTCTGACTTTCTAGACCCAGCCCCACTCCCATCTCCAGTGCTCCAATATCAAAATAGTGATCTGAAAGACAGTTCAGGGTTTGGCCTATGAAGTAATCTTGCCAAAGCCCTGTTAGGCTGAGTCTATGAAAAACTGTAACAAGTTTGGTTAGCCTGTGAGAACTTTCACTTTGACAGCAAAGAGACACAGTGGTGGCAAGAGGCAACTGTTTCTCCCTCCAAGGGAAAGTGACAGCAAGTGTCAGAAACTACCAAGGGTGGATGTGTGCGGGAGAAACAGAGGCTCGTGAATGACCTTGATCCACTGCACTGCTTCTCCATCTCCCTTCGTGCTGGTTGTTGGAAATGGGAGAGTGTCGCTTACTTTCCCAGCTGTTTCATGTTTCTGCTCAGAGAAGGGGAGCTGGCATCACCCGGAACCTGTGCCATCCTCTGTCGCACATGCCATTGGCAGACACAGCACTCTGAAGATTTCCTTTACAACTTTACTCTCCTACACCCAAAACATAGTTTGAATTCTTTGAAACTTCAGTCAGTACTTAATACCTAGTTCTTTAGAGAGTGCTGAGGAGGAAATGAGCTCGGCTTTCCCCGTACCCTGATGCTGACTGCTCACCGTAATGATGTCTGTCCAGAACCACAAACCACCTTTGGTAACTCACCGCCTCCGAACAACATTGTTTCCTCTGAAGAAGAGCCAGTAGAGAGAGCCAACAACCAGAGCGAACGGGATTGCAGTGTGGCAGACTCTGTGTGGGTGAAGCAGTTATCCCAGCAACTTTAAAAAAAAAAAAAAATGCAGTTTACAAAGTAAACATATGCTTTCATCACAGGAATTACTTGTTTCAGAAACTAGTTCCATAACTATTTGAAGACATGGAAGCAAGAATTTAAACTGTACTTTTTCTCTAGTTTACCAGGACACTTGGGTTGAAATTCCTAAGGGTTCATTTTAAGATTTCAGGAGAAATGCAGAAAATTCGAGAAAATTAGTCTTTCTAAGTGAAAGAGAAAATAAATATATTTAATGTGGAGTTTTTTGTCCCCTTGTTAGATACAGACAATATAAACTATAATTAAAATGATTCCATCCAGACTTAAATAACAAGTTCATCAGTTTTTACCGCGTGGTGTAAAAAATATTTGCTTTTCAAAACTGAGCTGCAGTCATCAAGTATCAGAACTGGAGGGATCCTTGAGTAATAGACAGTTACCTGTACCTGTTGCCATCGAGTCGATTCCAACTCATAGCAACCCTATAGGACAGAGTAGAACTGCCCCCTAAGGTTTCCAAGGAGTGGCTGGTGGATTCAAACTGTCGACCTTTTGGTTAGCAGCTGAGTTCTTAACCACTGTGCCACCAGGGCTCCAACAGGCAGGATATACATGGATAATTTTGGTGTTCAGTTTTCCCGAGTGTAATTCTGAAAATTGCTCCTCTCTTTGCTGGTATTTAGTCATCTTCCTATCCTTCAATTCATCAGATTGAGGACTTGCCAAAGTGTAGGACTTCCTGGTTTTCTATCTCTTGGAGAGAATATTTAAGTTGCTGTTTTTAGTATTGTTATGAAAGAATGGTAACTTGTCCTTTGGGTTAATTAGGAATAAACATGGTTTAATTTCAAGGAGTGGTATTAGTACTCCTCAGGCAGAAATCCTCAGATATTCTGATAGTGGTCTTCATATTTCTCAGTGATAATAAGATGACATATAGAAGGCCACACTCAAAGCTAGTGTGATATAATGGTGGTCTCATCATTTGCCAAGATGCTTTGGGAGTATAGAACAAATACGATAAGGATGTTCCTTTCTTCTTTGATGACACTTGGAAGCTCTGCATTTATCAGCTAAGAGCGTGTTTCAGGTAAACAGCTAGCTTGGGAATTATAAGACTGTCCTTCCCTGTCTTCTGGCTGGTGCCAAGGCCTTGTAGTGATACTGGTGTTTGAAAAGGGTGTAATCTGTTTGTCTTCAAATATCTACTTAAGCAACCTGCCTTGTTTTCTATTTTTGTTGTCCAACTCCATGGTAGTTAGCTCTGGCCTCACTAACATTCAAAGAAATTTTCTTCACCCTGCTCCATTACTGGTCTGAGGTAACAGAAATTTCAAAAGTCCAGAGAAAGGCCTGCGCGAAGATGGAGATTTGTTCTACCAGAGAAACCAGGTGAGAGTTGCCTTTCATGAGGCCACCAACTTCTTTTCAAAATTTAAAATGCACAAAGGAGATTTTTTTTTAAATATAGAAAATGTCACCAAGCCAAACACTATAGGGAACAGAATTTGAAGTATTATCTTTCGTTTTATAACATTTGTCTACACTAGAATTGATTACCTCTTTTTTTCCTTACTCTTCAGGAGGAAATCCTTCCCAAGGAGGGAGGTTCCCTTGAAGTACACCATGGATGACTTGGAACCACAGCACCCTCTTCGCTACCACACTGTTTGCCCAGTGTCCCCAAGGTGGCAACATGATTGCTGTTTTCCAAGGAATAAAGTGCCCCATTGATGAAGCCTAAGTAATTTCAGAAGGTTTGAAATGCCTAGATGCAGAAAAATGTGAGCTATGGAGACAATGGGAACACAGAACGTGGAAATCAGCTGAGCTACGATTGTTATCATACAGCTAAAGCTGCTGAAAGGTTTTTCTTGTCTGAGATGGATCTGTACTTATTTCCTGAGGGGAGCTGGAAAGGGCAAGGCTGTTGGGAAATTTTTTCCAGGACATGCTTTTGACTGACTTGCTGACAAAGAGGTACTGAGATGCATTTTAATGTCTAAATTGATTTAGGGGGAAAAAAAAAAGGCAAAGAGCATGAAAACCAAGCATCAATGCCACAGTGTTTACTGCTTTCAATCATCTTGGGCTGATTGGAGCCATTTAAATCAAAATTCCTTCTATTCTGTATGCAGCTGTAATCACGAGAAGGTATATTCTTGTAAAATACTACAGTTGACAAAGACTAAACACACACACACTCACACACACACACACAGACATCAAATTTTAAAGCATCACCACACTGTAAACCACAATTAAGCCTAAAACTACACAACTGATAATCTTACTCAGTGATTCCGAAAGCACCTATAAAGTCACGTCACGGTTACAAGATCGTTCTCTCCATTCCACTTTCCATCAGGTTATAGGCTGTGGCAGTACCTATTAAGAGATAGCTTATAGTTGAGATACTG